TTACCTGGAAAGTGCCACCAAGCACGGATGCCTGACCTTATTTGGAACATGACCTTTGGCATAGTTACCTGGAGTAAAAACTACCCCCAGGTTTTTTCTATATGATTATCAGGCATTGCCTTATAGTCAGAGGATAGGAGCCCACTGCCACATGTAAATAAAGCATACTGTGAGCACCTATTAGCTGAGGCTTTGGCTACTGCCTCCACACTATAAATTCTCTAGTTCTCCCACTGAATAAACGGAGCTGTTTCACTCTCTGGAACTGTATCACTGCTGTTTCACTGCACCTGGGACCAGTCTCTCTGGAAGGGCTTTCTTCCATCAGTGCTCACTGGCCGTCCTGACCCCGTTCACCGCTTCTGCTCTCCCTGCCCTCGTGGGCCGGTGGCCAACGACCCGCGAAGAAAGGGAGAGCCCCCCGCAGCTGGCCCGAGCCTCCCGCAGCTGGCCCGAGCCGCCCCGCAGTTAAGAACACTGGCTGTTCTTGCAGAAGACCCGGGTTCAAATCTCAGCACCCACATGGCAGCTACCAAATGTCTGTAACTCCAGTTTCAGGGGATCCGACAGCCTCTTCTGTCCTCCATGGACACTGCATGACATGGGTGTACTTACCTACGTGAAGGCAATAAATACATGCATACACATAAAATAAAAATAATAAATAAAATATTTTTTAAAAAAAGAATATGTTCTCTCATACACAATTTTTTGTTGTTGTTGTTTCAAGACAGGGTCTCACTATGCAGCTCTGGCCAGCTTAGAGTGGCACATAGGGCAGTCTAACCTCTAACCCACAGAGATCCACCTACCTCTTCCTCCAGAATGTTGGGACTAAAGGCATGTGCCACCACATCGGGCTTCAGAATCCAAGTTTTTTGTTTTGTTTTGGTCTTTTGGGGACAGGGTCTCCCTGTAGCCCATGCTGGTCTGGAACTTGCTTTGTAGACCAGGCTGGCCTTGAACTCATAGAAATCTGTCTGCCTCTGCCTCTGCCTCCCAAGTGCTGGGATTAAATGAGTGCGCCACCACACCTGGCTTAATTTATTTTTATGCGTCTGAGTGTTTTGCCTGCACATATATTGTGAGCCATCTCTCCAGCCTTAGAAGTAGAATTCTTTAGGGTTAGAGGGGAACCAGCAAAAAGCTAAAGGGGTGTAAAAAAGGATGAATGGGGGCTGGAGAGTGGTTAAGGCACTGGCAGTCTTGGAGAGGACCCAAGTTCAATCCTCAGCACCCACATGCTGGCTAACAACTGTCCTAAGTCCAGTTCCAGGGGATCTGACCCTTTCTTCTGACCTCCAAGGGCATTGAACAACACGGGTGACTTACACATTCAGGCAATACACTCATACATATAAAATAATAATAATAATAAATGTTTTCTAAAAAGATGAATGGGATGTGAATAGAATTGAAGTGTATTGTATGTATCTATGGAAATGTCATTATGAAACCCATTATGGTAACACTTGTAAAAATTAAACTTAAAAAAAAAAAAAGAGATAAATCAACACCTTTCAAGGGAACAGAAAGAAAACATAGGCTAACATAAGAAATCCATAGCTAATAGTGATTTCTCTTAAAAATGAAGTTTAAGTCACAATGAAATGCCATTACCTATGAGAGTGGCAAAATGAAAAATAAAATTGAAAATACCAGATGTGAGTTATGAATCAAAACCCTTAGAACTGAAAATGCAAAATGGAACGGTAGTAACTTAGCAAAAACTGTTTACCAGTCTTTTATGGTTAAATATGGAGGGAAGGCTCATTCAATAGAGTGCTTGCCTTGCAAGCATGAGGACTTGAGTTCTATCACCAGAACAAACGTACTTGTTGGTAATCCCAGTTCTGGGGTGGTGGAGACAGGCATGGTCCTGGGGCTTGCCTGTCAGTCAGCCTAGACAAATTAGCAAATTCCAGGTAAAAGTGAGAGACCTTTTCTTACAAAACAAGGTGGAATCTGAGACCATGAATCTGTTAGAAGAGAAAGTAGGGGATATGCTTCAATTTATAGGCACAGGAAAGGCCTTTCCAAATAGGATTCCAATATTGCAGGAATTAAGGCCAACAATTGATAAACAGAACTTTGAAACTAAAAGACTTCTGTACAGCAAAAGATACCATTAATCAAGTGAAGAGGCAGCTTACATAATGGGGAAAAAATCTTTATCAACTATACATCTGACAGAAGGTCAGTGTCTAGAACATACAAAAAACTAAAAGAAAAAAACTAAGAAAACAAACAATCCAATTAAAAATGGGGCATTGAACTGAAGAGAGAGTTTTCTGAGGCTGGAGAGATGGCTCAGCCATTAAGAGCACATACTGTTCCTCCAGAAGACTGGAATTTGATTCCTAGCACCCATGTTGGGCAGCTCACAATGCTTGGGGGAATCTAGAATGTCTTTGGCCTCCTTGGGCACCTGCACCTATCCGTACACAGACACACACAATTTTTTAAAAAATTAAAAAAAATTAAATTTGTTTTTTTTTTTTTTTTTTTTTTTTTGTCCTTTTGGGTCAGGGTCTCCCTGTAGCCTGGAATTCACTTTGTAGGACCAGCTGGCCTGGAACACACTTTGTAAACCAGTCTGGCCTTGAACTCACAGAGATGCACCTGCCTTTGTCTCCCGATTGCTGGGATTAAATGCGTGTGCCACCACGTTCGGCTTTAAATTTACTTTTTTATGTGTATGAGTGTTTTGCCTGCATGTATGTAAGTGCACTGCATGGGTGCCATGCCTGTGGAGGCTAGAAGAGGGCGTCAGATTCCCTGGAACTGGAGTTAGCTGCCATGGAGTGCTGGGAACTGAACCCAGAATCTCTGCAACAGCATCAAGTGCTCTTAACCACCGAGCCATTTCTCCAGCGCCATAATTTAATTTTCAAAAATACAGTATTTGGAATAAAAAGTTAAAATAATTATCATATTAGGAATTTCCATGTGCGAATAGTATGTATGTCTACACGCTACGTAGTCCATGGATGTGTCTTCTGTAGGAGGTCAAGCGCAAGTGTGTCCTGGCAGGGCCAGTCCCACCACAGGGAATGCTCTGCAGAACTCTTTCAGGCCTCTCAGTCAAGGGTTGGGCTACACCTCCTGTCATTCAAGGCTTGGGGCGTGCCCATCCTGTGGAACTGTCCAATCAGCCCGCAGCAGGGGGACGGGGCGAGCTGCCCCACTCTCGCGGGTTTTGTTGTCTCCCGGCTCCGCGTTGTGCCCAGGTGCCCACCCCGCAGGTTCCGGCTCCCTCAGCTGCGGTCCGCCGCGGCGGCTCTGCTGCAACGTCTCTTCCTGTGAGGTCGGGACGACGCGGGGCCGTCAGGAAGTCGGACATGGTGAGTGTTCGCCCGAGCTGGCGGGAACCGATCGGAACCAGCCGCGCGAACGGCCTCGGTCTGTTGGCGTCCGCCGCGGTCCCGCGTGTCCGGGTGGCGCTGCCAGGTCCGGCATGGCGGGATCGGGGTCCCCGGCGGCTCCCTGCCAGCCTCCTGGGCCTCGGAGGCCAGCTTTCCCCCAGCTTCCCCGCGGAATGGAAGCAGGTCTGCGTCCATTTCCCCAGGCTAGCTCCTCCAGGTTCGCGGGCAGGTCCAGAACCCCGGGTTCCTCCGTACAGTTCTGGGAGAAGCCTGGCTCGGCCCAGCGGTGTCTGTGCCATTGAGGATAGTGACGGTCGAGAGGTGTAATCGGCCATCCTGGGAGAGGGGAGCGCTGAGGTCCAGCCACTCCTCCCCTTAGTCCACCTGCTTGAATTGAGCTTTGGGTTTAAATAAAGAAAGGATGCGTAATTAGCCTTCTTGGTCCAGTGTGGCCCCGCCCATCATTGTCTCAACCGAGTCTGGAGTCCTAATTGCTTTGTGGGCGACTAAGTGGTTCTCTGGAGATAACTTCTGCTTCTGTGAAGATTGGTTCACCTGGAATCCTGGGTAACCATGACTTATCGCTGTACCTTCAGTCTCATAAGAATACTAATCCCAAGCCTCAGGACATAGCCCAGTTCATAGAGTACTTTCCTAGCATGAGTGAAGCCCTGGGTTTGATCCTCAACACCACATTAAAATTGAGTGTAGTAGGCCTGGAGAGATGGCTCAATGGTTAAGAGCACTGGCTGCTTTTGGAAAGGGCCCGGGTTCAGTTCCCAACACCCATATGGCAGCTGACAACCATCTGTAACTCCAGTTCCAGGGGATCAGACGCCCTCTTGTTCCTCCATGGGTTCACTTAACATACATGCAGGCAAAACATTCATACACAAAATAAAATAAATATAATAAAAATAAATCAAAAAAATGTTTTATGTGTATGAGTCTTTTGCTGACTGTATGTAAGTGCACTCATGCTGTGCAGTGCCTGTGGGAGCCAGGAGAGGGTATTGGATCCCCTGGAACTATGGACAGTTAGCCATCATGTGGGTGCTGGGAACGAAACCCCAGTCCTCTGTAAAAGCAGCTGAGCCATCTCTCCAGCCCCCCTCCTCAATTTTTTTTTTTTTTGAGACAGGGTCTCTTGTAGTCTCAACTGACCTAGAACTCACCATGTAGACCAGATTGGTCTTACCTCACAGAGATTTGTTTCTGAGTCCCAAGTGCTGAGATTAAAGGTGTGTGCCACCACATGCAGCAAAATGCTTTTTTATGTATTAACCTTTCCCAACATAATTTGTAATATTGCTGTAGTTTTATAGGTTGTATTTTCATTCTATTACTGTCCCTTGAGGGACATTTTTGTTGTGTTGGTTCATGTGTTTTTAAATTGTACATACTTAATAGCTGCAGTAGGATAATTGAATATGTGTAAAGAGTTTGTGGTGATCAATGAGTTGTGAGCACTTTAACCTCCTTAAATGTTTATTATTCTCTTTTGAGACAGGGTCTCACAATGTTACCTATGGCTGGCCTGGAATAGCACAGATCCTCCTGCCTCTGCCTCCTAAGTGCTAGGATTAAAGGCATGCACAACTATGTGTGGCATTCTTTTTTTTAAAAAAAAAAATCATGACTGAAATTGCTTTATTTGCAGTCAGCTTACACAGTTCCATAGTATTATAGTGAATTATATAGTAAGACCATGTATCAGGAAACAAGGGAGGGAAGAAGGGAAGGAGGAAAGCAGTTAGCTGGGGTTGCAGCTCAGTAGTAGAGCTCTTGCCTAGGACTCCTGCGGCCCTGGATTGCAACCCAGACCTACTAAATCTGTATTTTGGCAGATCACCGATTGGTTAAGGCTGCTGTGAAAGTTAGAAGCTTTGCTCTCTGCATTTTCTGAAAGCTGCCTGGGATGGTTAGTTTTGTCATCTTGACAATCTAGCAAGTCTCAATGGGAATTGTCTAATTAGATTGGCCAGTGGGCATGTTTCTGGTACATAGATTATCTTGATTGCATTAATTGATGCTGGAAGACCCAGCCTGAAAGTGGGCAGCTCCATTCATTCTCTTGGGCTACGTGCTGGACTAAATGAAGAGAGGAGAGCAAGCCTAGCACTGACAAGCATGCACATCTTCTTGCTTCATTGCTCTTGACTGAATGTGATGTAACCAGTTGTATAGTCACCTTCTGTGCTCTAGAGTAGTACTGATTCCTCTCACGAGGCTTTGTTTTTGGTACCTGTTACCCAACCTCCCTATCTTTCCCTATTCTCTTCAGATCTTCTAGTAACTAGTACTCTACATTTATGAAATAACCCATCAAAATTTCCTTTCTAAATGAGAAGATACAATACTTGTCTTTTGTGTCTGCCTTATTTCACTTAGCGTAATGTCTTCCAGTGATATTGCTACAAATGGTAGGATTGAAAATTTTAATTTTGGTGAAATGCATTTTGTCTGTTTATTTTGTTAACCAATCCTGTGGAGTACTAGCCAAGAAATCATTTCAAAATCTGGTATTAAAGACTTTTGGTCTATATTTGCTTCTAAGAGTTAGTTAGCTTTGACT